TCCTTCTAAAGACTACATATATTTGAACAGGTCATGGTGTTTCCTTTTTTTTCTTGGTTTAAAGGAAAATCAGGTGTTCACCATCTGGTAAATGTGTCATTCTTGCTTTTTAACCCACCTAGTTTTAAAGGCATTCTATTATGTTTATGTATAATACCGGTTACTTTTTCAATACATGTGCATATCCTTCAAATAGAATATATATATATATATAACTATTTGATTATTTTTTAAATAGTAACTATTTCTCGACAAAAAAATGTTGTTTACTAATTTTAGAAACTATTTAAACATTTTATAGTATGTTTTAAATATACAATTTAGGTTATTACGACTGATTAATTAAGGTAATAAATCACATAAAAATTTCTATTGTATTTCAAAATATTCATATCATATATGTATACATATATATTATATATTTGTACCTAAAATATCGAGATCTATTACATTTCTAACAAACATTAGATATGCTTATATATTTTTAAATTAATCACATCAGTAAATAATATTAATATATACATTACATATTTATCATTATATAAAAAAAAAATATTACTTCTATTAAATAATATTAACATAACCGACAATAAATTTTTGAAACAAAATTGTATATTTTATTATTTTTTGTATTAAAAAATACACATATATGGTAAAATGTTAAATTAATATAGACGGATCAACGGGCTGATACATTATTAAAATAAAGCTTTGCAAAAATATTTTACATTACGAAATTCCCGTACATCTCACGGGATTCTCACTAGTAATAATAAAAATAAAATTTCAAGGAAAAATTCCAACTAAATGTATTTCAATGAAATTTCAACGGTGATCGTACTGGATATTCCAGTGTTATTATTTACGTTAGAATTTTTAACTGATTCCAACGGAAATTCTAACAAAATTATTTCGTTGGAATAAATTTTCTATTGGAATTTTTCTTAGATTTTGAGATTCCAACAATAGTTTTTTAACAGTTGAAATATGGATAGAAATAAAATTCTAATGGAAACTGCACATTCTAACATAAATTCCTACGGTAAAAAAAATCGGAAAAATAGTCGTTGGAATCATTAAAATACATCTAAACTTCTAATAGAAAACTCATTCCAACGAAATACTTTTGTATGAACTTATGTCGGAATCATTCTAACGGAAACTATGTCATTTGAATTTCCATTAGAATTCTGTTGGAATATTATACTATAGGATTTGTTGTTGGATTATGACAATTTTTTGTAGTGATATTTATTAATTGAAATTTTATAATTTAAGAAATAATATAAACCAGTATTCAATCTTGTGCACATGCACAGATGCAAGTAAAATTTTATACGTTATATGTGTGTTTATGTAATACTTAAAATCGTAAGTTAGATAATGAGTAAATCACATTTTAAAAGTTTTATCATTAGTAAATATGAACAGTATAATATAAACTTTTTAACTTACGTATTAATCTATATATTGATATAATGTTGATTGATTATGATTGATTAATTGGATACTACGATATTAAATTATTATCTATAGCAATTGTGTATAAAATTTTGAAGTGTTTCCTTATACCATAAAAATAATTAACAAATTCTAATAAGAATTTGCTTAATGAGTTGAAGATAATAATAATTATTATTTTTTTTTTTTTGGTACAAATAATAATAATAATTATTTTAACTACATAGTTTGAAAAAGCTATTGAATATAATAATATTCAATGTGAATTTAGTATTAGTTAGTTATAGCAATTATATAATAAAATTAATAAAATATATAATTGATTTATTAATTTAAAAGTAACAGAAAAAGCCGAGAAAATAAAAAAGTTTTATTAAATTCTTAGCTAGAAATTATGTATATATAAATAAAAGCATACCATTGTAAAATTCTTATTAATTGTTTGTCCTACATCGGATGTATATTAAAGATGTGTAGAATATTTTTATTATGAAATAGGTCATTTGTCTTTGGTTACAATTTAGAAGTAAACTCTTAATTAAGGAAATTCTAACTTCTGTGCTATTTAATCTTAGTTGTATTTTGTTAGTAAATTTAGTGAATTTAGCATTGCGGTTAGCTTTATAGAGATCGAAATTTTAATAATTTATTAATTAACGTCATTACTTATTTTTAGAAATAAATCCAAGATAAATAAGATATTTAATTAATAAAGTTATTATTTGTTGCCCACCAAGTCAAATCTTAGGATAAGGAAAAAGATTATATCAAATCATAAAGGACCAATCAAATTGATGTCTTTTTCTCCAAAACTCTATCTCCTACACCTCATAAATCAGAAACACCTCAAAATATCAAACACATCTCAAAAATAAAAGTCTCAAATTCAAGAGCTCTCAAGAACCCTCTTGAAGATTTGAAGAAGTTCTTGAAGAAACGCCCGAAGTCTGTTCAATGAAGAAGAAGGCCAAGAAGAAGAAAAAGATGGGGTGACTCTTCCCCAAGAAGTAAAGAGACGACTTCAACTCCTCTCAACTCAATCCAAGAATATCAACGACGTTCAAACAACATCAAAATTCGCCTTTCAAGAAGACCAAAGAATCAAGTCCTCCAAGAAGTTTTCTTCAATCAAGTCAAGGTCTAACATTTAATACGGGAGTAAGTCATTCGACTCCTAAATTAATGTTAGAGAAATTCAAGATCATGCCCGGAGGAGATTCAGTCGTCAAATCCATATTTAAAAATCTCAAGCCCCAAATGCATGAAGAGAAGAATCAGATGAGACATATAGAGATTGTGACCCGTAAGAAAGATGGACCTGATCACAACAGATGAACTTTTTCAAAATATTGGCAAAAAGATGGAACCTAAAAAGAAATGTCTGTTGAGTAATTTTTTTTTTTTAATATATATATATATATATATATATATTTCTGCTTGTTCTCTTTTTCTTCTTGTCAATATTTTTCTTAGTTGTTTTGATATGGGTCATGTTATTGTTAATAAAATAAAAATTATTTTAAATGTTTAAGAAATGGTGGACCACAATGAGTTTGATCTGTTGGTTTATGTACTAGATTCCTTTGTGTATTTTCTATTAACTAACGCTAAGTTAAATTTTCTCTTAAAGTTTCTTTTGTTCATAACATGTTATGCAATGTAATTTTTATGGATCTTTGTTCTGTTAAATCACATAATTTTTTGTACTTGGGTTTGGATATTTATTTGTATACCCATCCATTTGATGCGAGACATTGAAAGATTAGCTTAGGTTCTACTTCTATTTTCATGTTGGTTAATTTGTGATTCTGTGCTTCTAAATTTTGTGTGTATAATATGCTTTTATGTAGGAGTAATTTGAGCTCTGAGGATGGTGCGAAAAACATGATTTTTGAAAAACAAAAAAATCTAGTATTGATGACGAGATGGCGGAAGACGTGACATACGGTAACTTTTTAAATAGCGGTCGGAACGACGAACCAAGATTAGAATGATTTTTGATACTCTTGATGAAGCATGGGAATTCTGACAGAATTATGGGAAGTTAATGGGATTTGGGGTTAGAATACATTATTGCAACAAAAGCCAAAAGGATGGAGCATATAATAATGCAGTTTTTGTTTGTCGTAAAGAGGGTAAAAGAGCTGAAGACAAAAGAAGGGTAGGAGTTGTGCATCAATGGGAAGAAAAAACATCATGCAAAACTAAGTTAAATATAGTTTTGGAGAGGTCAAGTGGTAAATACAAGATCAAAGAATTTGTTCGAGAACATAATCATGAACTTGAGCCTCCAGAGGCGAGTCACATGTTGAGATCCTATAGGAAAATGACTCAGGCTGCCGCTGTCGCAATTGATTTGGCACATGATGTAGGACTCACCCAAATGCAACACATTACTTGAGGATTAGAAGCAGGGGGTTGGGATAAGCTCGAATACATAATGAAAGGTCGAAGAGAGAAAAACACATGGTGTATGGAGAGTTGGGAGGTATAATTAGATACTTTGAGCAGAGAAAAGGTAAAGACCCTTCATTTTCTTATTCGATGCAATTTGACAATGAAGAACTAGTCATTAATATATTTTGGGCAGATTCTTGGATGATTGTTGATTATGGTAATTTTGGTGATGTAATTACATTTGTCACAACCTATGGGACAAACAAAGAATTGAGGCCCTTGGATGTATTTACAAGATTTAATCATCATAGGAAAATGGTTATTTTTGGGAGTGCACTTTGTACGATGAGACAGCCGATTAATTTACTTGGCTTTTTGAAACTTTTTTAAATGCTCATGGAGGTAAAGAGCCTCAAACCATTTTTACGGATCAAGATGCGGCTATGGTGAATGCTTTGTCAAAAGTATTGATAAATACAAGATATGGCCTATGCACGTGGCATTTGAATCAAAATGGGATCAAAAATTTGAGTTGGCGTATGAAAGATGATTCTTTTTTAACCGAGTTCAGGAGGTGCATGTTTGAATATCTTGAAGAGGATGATTTTGAAAGGGAATAGAAAAATTTACTTGATCGTTCTGATTTTCACAATAATGAATGGTTATCCCGTACGTACGACTTAAAGGAAAAATGGGCCAAATCTTCTATGAAGTATGCATTTACCTCTGGAATAAGAAGCACACAATTGAGTGAGAGCTTGAATAGTGACTTGAAGTCCTGCTTGAAATGTGATTTGAATATTTCTGATTTTTTTTTTAAAAAAAGCTTGATAGGGTTGTCGATGAAAAAGAGAACGAGAGCTTAAAGACGACTTTGATGCGAGACAAAAGTTGTCTCCATTGGAATTTTATGATTCTTTGTTGTTGATGTAAGTTTCACAATTTTACACTCCCAAAATATTTACACT